TTAATAAATGCTCATTAGTGCTACTTATTATTGGACTTTTGAATTTCAATCTTTAAAATAACTTGAAAAATCAACTATCTGGGTCAATACTCTTAGAGAGAGACAACTGAAGCCCAGAGATGCAAGTTATTGCTAATTATTGCCTAAAGTCTCACAGTTGGTTGGCAGAAATATTGAACCTAGAAATTTGGTCTTCTTATTCTAGTTCAAAATTCTTTCCCCTACATATCTTGGACAGTATATAGGACAGAGAATGCCTTATAATTGTCCTGGTTGCTATTTTCCGAAAATAACTGGAAATTATTACAACTGCTAAGATACGGAAAAAGAAAATGTAGAAATTAAGATAAAACGTAGTACCTTAAAGAGAAGTGAAAACTGTAGGGCCAAAGTTAAAATAAGGATTTAGAGGTCTATCAATTTGACCATTGTTTTGCCATCAATTGTCTGTGGGCAGAATACCTATTTACTTTTTCTTTCAGAATGTAAAAATAGAAAGGAAAATATTATTAAATGCAACTGGATTGTTGACAAGAAAAGCCAATAAAAATGATTATTTTAACAATATAAAAGTGCTATATAAAAGCTTAATAATCAACAGTATTTAAGCAGCTACTGCTGAGTATCTGATAGGGTGCCCATGTTTTATAAACAGTATTTATGGACTTTCAAAACTCAGTTTTTCCCTCTTTATGAATTGTGTATAAATTTGGGAAGTGGTTGAAACCGCATTTCAAATCAAAACCGCTTGCGAGGCACCCAGACAAATAAGTGCAAATATCCTTGGGCAATCTCACATTTAACAATCAGTTTGATGGAAGAGGATCTGTCTTTTAAAGAGCTAAAAAGTGAATGGTTCCCTTGGGACTCAGAAAAATATTGTTCTGGGAAAAGTGCAGAATTTCTCTAGATCTAGAAATGTGGGCTATTTCATTGTCTTACATATAATTATCATTCTGGAACTATTCTTTTTGCTTAAAATTTGCTATTGAGATACATATTATATAAATTTTTTTCAACATTTGGCCAATGGAGTACTATCTCATTCATATTTTGTCCCAAAATGCATTGGCATATTGAAATATTCCATATGTGTTTAAATAATTTGATTGAGACTATTAACATGATAGTTTTAAATGACACTCTTTGGATTTCATCACACTTCCACTAAGCTCCCTAAGTTCAAAGGACCACATCTTACTTATCTTTGTGACCTAAGTACTAGTATAGCAGAAAGTTACTAGGAAGAGAAGGAGAAAGGAAGGAAAGGTAAAAGAAAATTGGAAATGGAAACTTCCCTCCTTCACAGGTCATTATTGATGAATCCAATTTGCAAGATATAGTGAACTAGATAACAAAATGCAGCCAAGGTCAACATCTGACTCAGATATTGACTCAGAGTTATATTTCCTACTAGCACCTCTCAAGAACCCTGTGTCAACCACCCAGTCAAGTATGACTGGTTGATTAGATGGGTTATCACTTAGGTGGTTTACCTTGCAAATACTATATCATTGAATGTATAGAGTTTTTGGAGTCCTCTATTGTGAAAAGTCCATAGGCTACACTGGAAACAGGTTTCATAGGAGAGAACTCCTTTGCTGATAGCCAAAGATCACACTGCTAAACAGGAGACTCCAAGGCCACAATCGCAGGGGCTCGACAGTTCTTTCCTCATGGATGAAGAAAGTAGTGTCCTAGAGATGCTATAAACAGACTTCTTCCTATAAGGAATTTTCATCAGAGACACACTGAAATCTTTCAATTATAGGCAAACATTGAGAGCTGTGTAAGCAAGACTGGCAAAACAGGAAGAAGGAGATATAGTTGGAGGACTAAAAAAAGTGAAATAATATCAAAGGTTGTAAAGCAAACAGCACCCACCAATTATAACAAAACCATAAATAGTAAAATAAACAGCATATTTATAGTTTACAAATCATTTCCATGTGTATTAAAGCAGTGATCAGATTTGATCCTAAATTTTTGACCCTTTTACTAACAGAAACTATTTTCTTAGATTCATTCCTTTGACTTATTATGCCCCTGCCCATACTACCCATTCTTAGCTAGTCTTTCTACACTACTGTAAGCAGCCATAGAATCCTAAATCAACCCATGGCAGTCATCCATTTGCAAATAGTACAGCCCTACTGAAAATACTGCTATTTTGACCTGGGTTAGAATGAAACCCAATGGGAGACAGAGGAAATGTAATACAGAGCCTCTGGGAATTTGGAGCTGATCTGATGTGATAGATCTCCTTGTCACCTTTAGTTTCTGTGATTCTACGGGATTCACCACAACGGAGTAATTTGTGCTTGTCACATTTAGCAGGCAAGGCTGATAGATAACTCAGTCCAGCAAGAAGCTACAGGCAGCATTTCAGAATCTCACCAAGAGGACATTATCTAGCCAAAGTTATGAAACAATATAAAGTAAACTGTCTTTGGTGATTGATTACCTTCAAGTTGAACTTCACCTATACTTCCAATCACCTTTCAATGTGCATACAATCTCATTAACTGTGACTTTTTTTTCCACTGGAATTTGATCTCTACTTACTTTCAGTGACCAGACACACTTTTAATCAACTAAATAAATAGTTAGCAAAGTTGGACAGGAATATGTGAACAGATGAAAAAAATATTATCTATAAATTTAATTTAGTCGAGTTTTATTATTGCAACATTTGACATTTCTTGAGCACTTACCACATAAAATACTTTAATAATTCACTTAAAATGATAACTTGAAAAATAGCCAAAATGGAATTTCCCTAAAAATATAGTATATATTAGACTTTTTGCTTATTCAGTAAGTCCTTTCTATTAATCTAAATCACAAGTATATACCTAAAATTACATCATATCTTTGTGTCTATACTCAAAACTTTAGAAATCCCAGTTTAAAAAATAAGAGCTAAGCAATGTAAAATGTTACATCTTACAAAGCATGATTAATTTCCCTGATTATACAATGCATGCTAGATAGTTCGTCCCATGCAAAACGGTTTCCAGACATCTTACTGAGTTCCAACTTTAACCCAAAGAACAGGAATTGACACTGTTTGTTTTGCTGAATAAACTAAAGCCCCATTCTTTATCACATACCTTACCTTCTCTAGGGAAAAGTTCCCATCTTCTTAACCTCAAAGTCAGGCCCCTTTGGGGCAGGTATGTAGTTAGAATAAAGATTTAAAATGAGTCACTGGTAGGAAGAAGCATATGATTTATTTGCAGCTAGAGCATGAGAGTATGCGAATCACAATGGTAATTAATATAGATTCTTATAGCATTTTAGAGGTAAAATGAAAAAAGTAGACCTATAATTAGTTCTAGATTATCTAGAGTAATCATCTGCCATCCTGTAGTATCTAACTTGAAGAAATGGATATTAAGACAAATGTTCAATTATTAGTTTCTCAATCTTGTGGTCAGATGCCAAAACATTTCCCAGACCATTCTCATAAAGTAAGTGAGTCCTCTCCTGGGAACACCATAGTCCAGCTTGTACTTGAACTCTTGGTTATATCATGGGTTAAAGCCACTTGGGCAAACCCAGTGTGTTAAACTGGCACAGAGGAAACTTTAATCTCTGTGGATCTTTGGAATTGGAAGGTGTGATGGTTTCTCCTGATTGTCAACTTGACTAGATTAGGAAATGACTAGCAAAGCACAGCTCTAGGTATGTCTGTAAAGACATTTTCAGAGATGATTAAATCATGAGGATTCTGACCTAACCAATGAATTAATCCACTGATAAATTCAAAGTTAGAATAGAATATTTGGACATGGTTGAACTGTGGAAAATGAGACCTACTTGAACAAAATGAGTCATGCCTTTAAGGGTATATCTTGGACTTGTTCCCTTCTCTCTTCCTCTCTCTTTCTGCTCTGGCTGCTATGAGGTGAGCAACTTTTCTCTGTCACATGCTCTTGCCATCATAATATTCTGCCTCACTACAGGCCCACAGCAATGAAGAAAAACCTCTGGAACCAGGAGCTAAAAATGACTCCTCCATTAAAATGTTTCTCTTAGGTTATGTCACAACAAAGAAAAGTCTGACTAACATAGAAGATATTCAAGGGTCACACTAGACTAGGCCATACCAGACTAGAGAAAGACTGTTGGCTTCCTTCACCACTGTGGATGTGTTGGGATGAGGGGCAGATCTAGTTTCCAGGGGTGAAAGTCTGTTAGATTTGTTTTGCTCTGGACATGTTCTTTTCTAATTCTGCACAGGCTCTTTTGGCAATTACAGTGACAGCACTCCAACTTTCAAGTTACAGCTCCAAACTGGAGAATGTACTCACAGTCAACCCTTAATTATTTATGCATATGAGAGTAGTGTCTTCAATAATAAAATGATAATTTATGTATTTGGAGGTTTTTTTCTTTTGTTCTTGGCAACATCAACAGACTTATTTTCCTAATTATGTTTGACCCCAATTAGTGTCACAATTAACATCCTCTGAGCATACACACACAAACACACACTACTCACCAACTGGTGGTGGGTGGAATGCCCAGAAACACATTGTGGGATAAGGAAAGGTGGTCCGAGATTATGTTCGTGCTGCGGGCAATTCACACTCTAAATAATCTGGATCACTAGAGTTGGCTATATTTATACCCAGCTCTTTCTATAACCACCTAATCACATTAGTTAATTCCCATCCGTAAAATACACGTAGTGTCAGTAATTACTTATTAAACTAAGACTATCAGCACACAAAATATTTTCTTTCAATGGGGATTATCTAGCTTGACTGTTTCTATCAATCCAATTAAGATTGCTGATCTCTCTGGTGCTGGCTGCTACACAGCGCTTTCTGAGTTCTCTCTCAGGCTTGGAGATAATTTGGAATTAAAGCACAACTTCTCTTGACTTCCAGAAAACTCCCTCGTACACCTGCCCCTCCCTTGGTGGCCCAGCGGCCTGGAATGAGGGCCGCCTGGCCCCGCTGCGCCCGCCCTCGCCCTGGCTGGGCGCTCACCTGTCTTCTCTTCGGCTTGGCTGCTCTCCGCGGTCTCCGGAGGCTGGGCTGTCGCCTTGGCAGCAGCGTCCTCTGCAGCAGGGGTGGTGACAGCGGCAGCGGCGACAGCAGCAGGCACGTCGGATTGTTTAGGCTCCTCCTTGGCTGGGACATCTTCGGCCTTGGAGGACGGCGAGTTGTCAGTGGAAGCTTTAGTGGCACTTTCCGTGTCAGCAGAGCCGGCCTTCTCCTCTGAGGGCGCAGGAGCCTGGGGGGCCGCGGGCTCCGGAGCAGCATCCGCGGCGCCCTCCGCCTTCTTCTCCTCGGAAGGAGCATCTCCAGCCTGGCCGCTGTCGTCGGCCTTGGGGCTGGTGGCCGGGGCCGCGTCAGTGGTGGCCGGGCCTTCTCCCTCCTTCTTCTCCACGCCATCAGCCATGGGGGCTTCATCCTTCTTCTCGTTCGCCTCGGCCTCAGCAGCATCGCCCTTCTTCTCGCCTTTGAGCTTTTTCCTTGTTATGTGTCCACGGAAGCTAGCCTGAATTTTGGTTGCGGCCTTGTGAGCTTTATCTTCCGGTTTGATACCATCTTGCTCAATCTTCTGGTCCTCATCATTTTTTTCAACCTTTGTGAGAAAAAGGGACAGAAAAGGAAGCTCAAGTAGGGTTCTCCAAAGCATCTATTTATTGACTAACCCCGTGCCAGGCACTAATACTTGGAGTTGAGGAATGAAGTCTCGTCTCTCTCCAGTGTTGTATGGGAAACGTAAAGCCCCTGGAACTTGTGGAATTACTGACTTTATTTTAAACGTATTGCCTTTCCCCAGCTCCATGTTGCTCTGCTACCAAAGTTACACCAGGCTTTAAAGAAGATACAGCTTGACAATCAAATCACATTCACCTAAGTTTTAATTAGAGTTCTGAAAGATTCTGGGTTTTCGGGATTTCCCAAGTGGGACTCTGTAAAACTTTATGATTTAAAAAATGTTATGCAAGAGCCTACCCCCCAACCTCATGATTTTAAGGTTTATCAGTAAATCAATACATGCAAGAAAGGAATAGGGTGAAGGTTTAGACAATAAATCCCCTCAAGATTTTATGAAAACTGCAAATAAATCTCAAAGCTTTGGGGATTTTTTAATTTTTCAGAATATAGCAACTGAGAATGTTGGTTATAAAATGATATCTCACTTTCTCCTATGTGTTGATCCAACATCAGTGATAAACAAACCAGGTCTTCAAAATTTGAATAGAGAAAGCCATTAGACTGAAAAACAGTGGCAATTTAAATCTAAAATTAGTTATGTATCAGCATCAATTATGCCATCCTAGTACTGAAGACAAGAAAATAGAATACACAACTTTTGACTTTTTTTTTTTTTTTGGCATTACAGCGGTTTGAACTCAGGGCTTCATACTTGCTAGGCAGATGCACTACCACTTAAGCCACACTCCTAGACCTTTTTTAACTTTAGATATTTTCAAATAGTGTCTTCTATTTTTGCCAGGTCCTGTCTCAGACCTCCCACTTGGGATCATAGGCACAAGCAGCCATACCCAGCTTATTGATGTAGAGGGGCTCTTGTTTTTTGCCTTGACTGGCCTCAAAAACTCTATAATCCTGATCTCTGCCTCCCGAGTAGCTGGGATTACAAGTGTGAGCTACCACGCCTAGCTAAAACTTTTGATCACAATCTTTACCAGCTTATAAATGCTACCAATAACTTTTTTTCCCGCTTGGAAATTAACTCAAAGAATAAGAATAAAAGGTATAGTTATAGAATGAAATGGGTAGGCAAATACCCAAAATTCTGTATAGCTCCGTTGCTCACCATGATGCCCTGGCTGGCTACTGATAGTTTCCATTCCTTCATTTAAGTTTTGAGCATATAACTTTTGCAAACTCTGTTCTATGTACTGGGAAATACAGTAGTGAACAGTAAGGAGCACAGCAACTTTCCTTCAAAGAAACATTAATTAATAATAGTATTTGTCATCACGTACTATGTCCCCTGCTTGGTCCCAGTCTGCCCTTGACCATGACTTTGGCCTTTGCTCCAATTTAAGAAGGAAAGTACAGCAGCCAACACACAGTATGTTTTCCACCTGTCACACCAGCTCTGCCCCAGTGGCCTAGATCTATCAATCATTGTGCAGTCTTCATGACATTCTTTGGACAAGCATCCAGGCTTGTCACTGTTCAGCTCTATTTGCATGCTAGCGAACACAAGGAGGCAAGATGCATATGAGAATAAAGGCAGGATGGACATGTGTTTTTCAATAAAATTCAAGACAAGTTTTTCTTCTTCCTCAATTAACCAGGCATGTGTCCATACAAAAAAGGAAGGAGTAGGTGAAAAGCACTTTGGAGGGACCCATCCTGTTCCCTCCTCCCAGCACCATGCTGGAACTGATTCTTTCTCTCTCACACTACCACCTTCCTGCCATCCTGCTGCTCTTGATGACTCCTGCTGGGATGCACACAGCACAATCTGGGACACAGGAGCAGCTGTCCCTGCCAGGAGCTCACTGCTCAGAGATTGAATCATAACCCTGTAAAATTAACAGTTGTGAATGGAGCACAGAGCGAAGAGGTTGCTCTTTATTTTACTCTATCTTGAGTTTTCTGAATGAGCACTGTCATACATGATAGGACATCTGCACTTGGGCACTGATGCCAAGTAGTTCTGTAATAAAAATACTGCTCCTTGTGAAAGTGAACAACACGGTTATTTTGGAGAGGGAGAGTGTACAGAAAAGAACATCTAGTAACTCAAGAAAACTACCATTTTAGAGTCCTGTCTTCCCTTTAAGAATACAAAGCATAGGAGCTAAAGCTCTTAAAAAGTTGGAAAACACAAAAATAAGAAAGCTGAAGCCTTTATGATATAAAGAAAGAAACTACATGGATAAAAGAGTTCCTTCTGTCTCTCTCTTTTTCTCTCTCTCTCTCTCTCTCGCTCTCTCTGTCTCTCCCCCTTCTCTATCTCCCTTCTTTCCTTTCTCTCTCTTCTTCAGAGCATCTGATACTTTGATTTTCCAAAGATCAGGATTTTGGTTTTTATACACAGCATCTATGTTACAATGACTATCTAGAAAAGTTCAAACAAGACTCAAGTCCCTAAATTATGGGATCAGCCTCACCCAAACAATTCAGGAGTATAAGGGATGCAAGAGAAGAAGGACAAGATGAAGAGAGCAAGGAAAGAATAGAATCAGGAGAGAAGCCATGCACCCAAACAGTTAGATGCACTTAAAGAGATACTAAGAGTATTCCATAGGCATGCAGTTTGTTCTGGAGGAGCACTGGATATATTAACATCACTGGAGATTCTTAAGATTTCAGAGATTTTAGAACTTGGTTGGTTTGGAAAAAGGCAATCTATAATGCAGAGATACTTTAGATAAAGGGAAAAAGGCAGAGAGAAGAGAAAGGAGGAAAGGGGAATAATGAGAAGAGAATGGTTAAGGGAGGAAAGAAGGAGGCCATAAAAATTGGATTTTAAGCTAGACAATGCAGGATTGTGTATATATGTTTCCCTTTAATTAATAATTGATTCTATTACTATGACTTAAAGTACAGGTTATTTTCTGGTAAAACTCCTTTTGCAGTACTTAAAGAACTGGACTGAGAATGTATTTTATATTAGCATATATTGTACAAAGAGGTATCATTGTGATATTTCCATGCATGCACATAATGCATTTTGGCCATATTGACCCTCTATAACTCTTTCTTATCTCTCTCCCCATCCATTTCATACAATTTTAGTGGGTTTCATTACTGTGTTTTCATACACACATATGATGTACTTTGTTGAGGGAGAAGACAAGAAGAAAAAGAACATTGCCCAATACCGGTTGCTGGGGCAGTTTGAGGGCAGCCCATTTAGAACTTTTCCCAATTACAAATAGAAGCACTTACATACATAGACAAAGAACATTTGATTCCAGAGGAACCAGAGATCATTCAGTATATTTGGCTCAATGCTTTCAGTTTCTTAAAGGAAAAGCCATGGTGGCTCTGAAAAATTAAGTGGCCTGAGTGATTCAGTGGTTCAACTTGTATTTGATCTCAGGTTCCTTCTTCAAGTACATTCATCATCCCCCAAATCCACCTTTATTGTATTCCTGACTCAGTTAACTTGGAGTATCTTATAGCAGATAATCCATAAAATATGAAGTCAACATTCTCATTCACTTATTCATTTAACAGTACTGAGTATCTATGCTATGCACTGCACACACACACACACACACACACACACACTCACACTCACTCACACACAATCAGTATGTTCCATGAATGCCTAACTTTCAGAACTAAAACTAACATCATACATTCTTCTGAGACACTTCAATGCATTTAACTTTTTTGAATGATCATAGGAATAACTCAACCTTTGAAGCAAAGAAAACCTTGGTCTGATAGGTACTTCTGCCAGCTATAAATAGTACTAATATAATTCTTCAAATTTTCTATGTAACAAGATTGATTTTAATTACTTCAAAGATCATCAGTGTATACCAATTCCTTTTTCTAGGAACATCTTTAGTAAACCAAAACATTATCAATTTAATTGATCAAAAGTTATTTTTGAGAAGCAAAATCTAAAGGCCAGAGATATGTTAACCAATGTTTTCTTTAGCATACCATAGTTTTTATGCTTATCAAAGCCTTACAGAGCCTGTAAAACACCCAGAATAAAGTGTTGATATATATGTGTGTGTGTGTATACATATATATGACATATATATGTATGATATATATATGATGTGTATAAATATGATGTATATATATAAAATGGGTATATGTGTATATAATGGATATATGTATGTTGAATATATATATAAAATCTATCAATTCACTAGTTATTGCTCATTCTATTTTTATTAATAATTTATTGAGGTGAAATTTGCCTAACAAATTTTTACTCTGTTTTTAAACATCATTGATATTTTGTCAATACAATTTAGAGAAAATATCTAAGTATTAACTTAGTTTATAGTACAGCTTCTGTACTTTTTTCAAACATAGTCAAAGATCAGAAATACAGTTAATGCCTCTCATAAATGAGAGAAAGAAGAATGAATGAGCTGATTCTAGTTCTGTGGGAGAAATGTCTGCATGTTTCTGCATAGATGTAGGGAAGAAGGTATTATTTAAAAGGTGAATAGTTAAAACTAAGCCTGGTTTGAAAGTCTTACTAATGGTGTGAAGGGAATGGAGAGTAGGATGTGTAGATAAAAACCATGAAATTGTTATGTGTTTTCCAACAATCTTCATACCTTGTTTAGAACTCTGGTTTTCACTTCAGTAAAAAGATCTTTCTTAGTTTCTGAGCAGTAAGAAGGCAAGACAGTATGATTATCTTGACAGTTTTCCATGGAAATGTGAGACATGAAGAGGGATCTTGGAGATCCTGGCAGAGTGGTTATGAGGGAAACTCTTTTCCCCTTTAAACAAAGGTATAGTATATTGCTATAGCTCAAGAGTCATAATGAGTGGGCAAAAAATGTTCATTGGTAGACCACATTTAAAAAAAACCACACAAATATTCTGTATTGGAGATTGAATAGTTATGTTATCTTAAAAGGCAATAGCCAATGATCAGAAGATAGGGTT